GTTTCTCTCAGTTTCTGTGAAATCAAGACGAAGTTTGTATTTCCATCATCAGAGCTGAACCCTCCCCTTCCTCTGTCCTGTGGTTACAAAAACAGGAAGCTGAGCTGAGCTGAGAACTTCTTCAGCTCAGAAACCCAGACAGTTAGCACCGTTAGCTCCGTTAGCACTGATATCATTGGTTCAGTCATTCTCAGGACTTATTGATGCTTCTCATTCATGTGACAAACTTCTGATTTTTAATAAAATACAGAATAAAGAATCAAACTGCAGGTTAAGATGAATGAAGGCAGAAAGTGAAACTAAATGCGGATCATTTATATTGATTAGACAGAAAATATTGGAGGGAAGGATGGAGGCCGGGGCTGTTTGTGTTGAGCTCCCCCTGCTGGGGCACACAGGTTACTGCATCTGGTATTATTGCTGCTAATGTCTTGCCATACCAGGTGTTCCGTTCTCGGTTCATTTTGGTTCATTATATAATGTTAAGTTCAGGTTTTTCCTCCTTTTTTCAGTTCCGGTTCATCAACTGAATGAAAGATTCATTTCGTTTTGTGTTTTTATCCATCAGTAAATAAATTCACAAATCTTTTAAAATGCGACCAGAAGGTTAAAGATGATAAAAAGAATGAAACAGAAAATAGTTTTAATGAATAAAAGTCTGACTGAATCTGTTGCGTCTTTAGTTTCTCGTGTTGCTTCAGTTTGTTTGATTTATTAATTGATTTATTAATTTAACCGACAGTAACTAAATGAACAACCGTTGAAGAACAGCGCCATCCAGTGGTAACATCAGATTAGTGATTCAGCACAACAGTAAGAAATTATTTCTGCATATTAATATTAGAAGAAAACATAATTATTGGAGGTCTTGCAGCTTCTCTGTTTGTCCACCAGGTGGCGGCAGCAGCCATCTCAGTCACTTGTTTACTCCCTTAAGTTTCAGTTTCTCTGATCGCGCAGCGCAGTATCCAACCGTCAGTAACTCGATGTTTTTCTGCTGCAGAAATGATATTTTTGCATTTATTCGCGTATTTTCTGCTGATCCTGCAGGTTTCTGCTGCTGACGGTGAGTTCAGGAGGTTTTAGGTTCAGTAACATGAAGCTGCATGTCGGTGGTGGAGAGTCTGGTTTGAATATCTAACTATCATAAACAGATCTGGATGTTTGCATTATAATGTTTTATTTATTATTCCTCTTTTAGTACAGAAACACAATCTAAGCTTCATTTTAAAGTTTTCCTTCAAATATAGAAATGATCTCATAAACACAAAGTAGTGGCTTTGTTTTACAAATTACAACAAAATAAAGACTTGAAATAATTTAAAATGAGTTCAAGTGTAGAAAATGTACTGTTTAAGTTAAAATGTAAGAGTTTAAACATGATAATAAAGCCTTTTATAACCGTCCTTCTCTGATAGTTTTGTTATCATGCAGCAAACAGGGAGGAGCTGGTTGGGTTCGGCTGCCAGTAAAACCAGTTTAGAGCTACGAAGCTGAAGTTGGTTTCCAATTCCAGAGTCCAATAGCTAAAGGGCGATTCCACTTAATTTTTCACTACTAACCGCATCTTTAATCAACTCTTAAAAACTACTACACCTAAACCTGGACTAGATTATTCTGCTCTAATAGCAGAATATTTGAAGTCTCTAGGTGTAGTAGTTTTTAAACTAGAGTTTATTAAAGATGCGGTTAGTAGTGAAAAATTAAGTGGAATCGCCCTTTAGCTATTGGAAGCTGGAATTGGAAACCAACTTCAGCTTCGTTTTAGATCTGTGCTGCCCAGTTTAATGCTGTTAAATAAACTGTTATGTTTTAGGCAGGTTGAACGTCTCAGACGTAAAGAAAATGATTAGAACCATGGAGGGAAAAAAAATCAGGATTCTGAGTTTAGTTCAATCTTACAAGAACTGAAAAGCTTCAAATACCAGCAGGGATGTGAACTCACTGAGTTTATCAGGAGCAGAGATGATTCTGCAGGAAGGATCTGCGTTACCGCTGCTTAGTGCAGTTAGGATGCAGCAGCTTCCTGCATTGACTGTGTTCATGTCTGGTTCTGCGGTCCGGTCCAGTGGCGGTGACACCAGGAGGAGCTGCTGACCTGCAGTGCCAGACTCCCGGCGCCGCGGCGGCCACCGTGGTGGAGTGGACCAAAGACGGCCTGCCGGCCAGCGAATACGTCTTCTTCTACCGCAACGGCCGGCCGTACGAGAAGTACCAGCACGACTCCTTCAGAGGCCGAGTGGCGCTGAAGAACCGGTCCGGTCCGGGCAGCGGGGACGTGTCTGTGGTCCTGAAGAACGTCTCTGTGGAGGACGAGGGGACGTACCGGTGTCGGGTTCGGATGAGCAGCTCTGGGACCGAGGCGGAGGAACACCTTCAGGTCAGCCGGCTGAGGGTCGCGCTGCGGTCAGGTACGTTCACCTCACAGCTCAGGGATTCATCCGCAGCTGGCGGGAAACTGATCCGTCCTGATCTGCAGGAAACGAAGCAGGAAACGAAGCAGGAAACGAAGCAGGAAATGAACCAGGAAACGAAGCAGGAAACGAAGCAGGAAACGAAGCAGGAAATGAAGCAGGAAACGTCCAGAGAGTTTTCACAGACGGAGCAGCGGGTCCAAACGTCGCCGTCCTGGTTGGAGTCCTCATGGTTTGTGTTTGTGTTGCTGCTGGTGTCGGTTTTTATCTGTTCAGGAGAAACAAATCCTCTCATCAGAGGACAGAAGTTGTGTGAAGCTGAGAACAAGAAAATCATTTTATTTCAGTTTTATTTCAGAGCTGTAAAAAGCTTCAACCTTCTGAAAACAAACGGAGATCCTCGATTAAACCAGTTTATTATGGAAATAATTTGGGAGAAAAGCATTAAAATAAAAATAAAATCACTACAGAAGACGAAGCGTTGATGTTGGAGGAGAAGAAAAGGAAATGAAAACCTTTTTGATCTGATCTGTGAATCTCGTTTCCTCTGGTTGACGGTGTGATGTCATGTCCAGAGTGTGTTCATGTAAATGTTCAGATGTAAACAGGATGTGTGTGTTCATGTAAATGTTCAGATGTAAACAGGATGTGTGTGTTCATGTCATGTCGGTTTAAACTGAGTTTTCTCTAAATAACCTTTTTTACAGTGTAACTGATCCTCTGTGACCAAATCTTTAACATTTCTTCATCTGTAATAATTATAACAATGTTCTGTAAACTAAAATCACTACATTAGAGCCATTTTACTTGTGTTAAATTGTGTGAATATGGTTTTATACGTTTTATTATATTTTACTGTAAAAAATCAAAGTTTGTGTCGTTTTTCTCTGTTTGCTGCTCATTTTGACTCAGGATTGAATAAATAAGTGAAACCTGAACTCAGAGACTTGAGTTAATGATTCATTTAGTTTCTATGGGCAGCAGAGCGACTAGCTGAGTGGTCATTAACCTGATAAAGGTCCATGACGGACCGGACCGGTTCACTGTTTAAACATAAACAGTGAAAGTAAAGAATCTGACCTCGGTTTCCCTCCAACGTTTCATTTTGACTCTACAGAAAGTAAAACCTTCACATCGTTTCTCTTCTGGTGAACAGAGATTCATTAATGTTTGGGTTCATTAAAATGATCCAGGTGTCAGAAGCTGTAGAAACAGTTTCATTTTCTCTGAAGTGAAACATTAATATATGGAAAAAACCTTTAAATGTTTCTTTAGATGATTTATGGCAGAATATTAATAACCTTTAATGGAGATTATTGGAAATTCACACAAACTGACAGAAAAGACGAAGCTTTTCATCACAAAGATAAAAATATAAAATGAAAAAGTGAATAAACAGCCTGCAGTAAATTTACAGCATAATAAACATGTAGCTGTTAGAAACATCATTCAGAGAAACGTGGAGCTTCGTAGGATCATTAAAATGTATAATAATATTTATGATGAAAATAAGAAGTGAAAAAATCTCAGACTGAGTCACTTCAGTTCTTCCTCTGATCATCATTCAGACAGAACCAGCATCAGCTGGTCGATTATTAATTACTGATCAATATTTCATCAATAAGAGGCTGAATTTACCTGCAGGAAGCAGAAGATGATTTATTGGATCAGAGAAACTCAGGATCTGGTCCAACATGAAGGTTCAATGTTTCAGATGTTTTTAAATGTTTCAGATGTTTTTAAATGTTTCAGATGTTTTGAAATGTTTCAGATGTTTTTTATGTTTTAAATGTTTTCAGATTCATGATCCTTCAGGAATCGACTCCTGATGGATTCATGATTTATTTCATCTAAAACAAAAACATCTCTGCTTTAAAAGCCTCAAATGTTTCACATGAGATGAAAAACATGAAGCAGTTTACGGACTGGATTTATTTCGAGCGATTCTCAAAAACAGGCAACGAGATTCTTTTAAACAGTGTCATTGTTTTTAAATTGTTTTATATTTGTGTATATGTATTAATTTTATTTTGTAACCAGGGTGCTGTGCGCTGCAGACTTCTGCCCAGGTCCCTCTTGAAAATGAGATCAGGGTCTCAATGGGGTTCACCTGGTTAAATAAAGGAAAATAAACAATGATCCAGTAATAATGATCAGGATGTGATTTAATCACTTTAAAAGATAAAACAGGAATAAAACATTCATTAGAGGTTCAGATTCATAAACACAAATAAACATCTGACAAGTGAATTAATGCTTTATTTAGTCTGGAGAAGAATTATAATCCATATTTATTTACTTTAAGATGATGCTGTGAACCAAACTAATAGATGAATAACTACAGAAAACAAGCTGAGTTAAAACCAGAGAGAGAAAATAAAACCATGAGGAAACTCAGTTTGTCTGGTTATCAGAGGAAACTGATCCACAGTCTGAAACACCTTCAGTAAAACTAACCACTGATCTGCTGACCTGAGATGAAGCAGATCAGATACGATGAGCTGAAGCCTGGCAGACATTTCAAATGTTTCTTAAAACAAAGAGATGCTGAAACAGGAGCAGCGTGGCTTTAAGGGGTTCAAAATGATCCAAAGAAAGAAAAGCTTCATTTTGGCCAGTTGTCTGAGATAACTCAGCTAACCTGAGCCTGAGCTAATCTGAGCCTGAGCTAATCTGAGCCTGAGCTAATCTGAGCCTGAGCTAACAGAGCTAATCTGAGCATCAGGTTTCCAACTATAATCCACTAATATATATTCCACATACATATTAGTCTAGGTTTGGATTGTAGCTGGAAACCTGAAGCTCAGGTTAGCTCTGTTAGCTCAGGTTAGCTCTGTTAGCTCAGGCTCAGGTTAGCTCTGTTAGCTTATGCTCAGGTTAACTCTGTTAGCTCAGGCTCAGGTTAGCTCTGTTAGCTCAGGCTAGCTCTGTTAGCTCAGGCTAGCTCTGTTAGCTCAGGCTAGCTCCATCCCTACACTAACATATATTCCACATATATGTTCAGGTTGAATATTTTCCACAGGTTTCATGAACTGAAGCTGCTGTAACCGGTTTTAACCGGTTCTGCTCCAGTCCACCACGACCAGAACCATCTCGGTGAGCAGATCCTGCAGGTTTTTGACAAGCGATGTGACTGATGACTGAGTGAACTGTAGATTTATGTGACTGGATGAGTGAAGGTCAGAGCTGGTCAGCTCCAAACGTCTCAACCACAGAAGGACTGCAGCACCAAGACGAGATGCAGCAGCTGCAGCTGCTCTGTTAGCTCAGGCTAGCTCTGTTAGCTCAGGCTAGCTCTGTTAGCTCAGGCTAGCTCTGTTAGCTCAGGCTAGCTCCAGCTGCTGCAGCACAGTGACCAGCCTGGTCGACTGAATCTGGCAGCAGGGGACAGAGAAAAGGTCCAGCTGCTGTTTTTACATGACCAAAAGGTTCTGCATGGCACCTTGTTAAGCCTTTGCTAAAGCTAAATGAGTCACTCAGGTCTGCTTGTGATCCTGAGGTGAGGAATGCAGCATTTATACATTCAGGTTGAGGAGAATCAAATCACCTGCTGCTGACCTTTAGGCTGATGCTCTGAATGACCCAATCTGTACTTTAGCAAACCTGCAGATTTCCTGAGAAAACAACCAATAATAATAATAATCAAAATGAGAAGACCAATCACAGACACAACAATGATAACCAATGGAAGTGAATCGTTTTCATTGGCCAGATCTCCGGTTCTTCCAGCCTCGTCTTCATCATCCTGGTTTTGCTCCTCATCGGTTCCTGCAGGACAGAAACCAGACAGACGTTCATCACCTGATGCTGTGGATCCTACAGACAGACACTCAGCTCAGAGGACACAGGGTCACTGTCTGAACCATAAACCTGGGAGTAACATCAGTATCTGGAACGATTTTCATGTTTCAAACTGAATCTGTAGACGACCTTCAGCGTCTGACCTGATGGATCCCCAGCTGGATCCTCCCCTGAGACCGTCAGGTTGACAAACGAGTGAAGCTTTCCATCATGGCCTCCCGATCTCCTGGTGATGATCACACAGCGATACGTCCCTTCGTCCGTCTTACTGACGTTGTGCAGAACCACAGAGAAGTCGCCGTCCTTCAGGGAGCTCCTCAGGTCCACTCGGCCTCTGAAGGACTCGTGTTGGTACGACCCGTAAGAGCGACCGTTACGGTAGAAGAACACGTGATCCGAGCCGAGACCATCTTTGGTCCAGGTGAAGAGTTTGATTTCTTCATCTGACGGTCCGACACACTCCAGAGAGACGTTCTGTCCCAGCTTCACCTTCACCTGCTGCTGACCTGGAAGAGCCAGAAACAGAACCGGGTCTGAGGCAGAGCAGCTGCTGGTACCACAACATGATCCAAAACATGAAATGTACCGAAAACCCAGAGCAGTCAGAGAATCACAGGTCTGAGATTCAGAGAAATAAAAACTTTTTATGGGACCGACGGACCTCCGGCCTGCAGAACCCTTTATGTTTTAATGTTGGAGGATCACCTATTATTATTATTATTATTAATGTTATTATTATTATTGTTATTATTATTATTAATGTTATTATTGTTATTATTATTAATGTTATTATTATTATTATTAATGTTATTATTATTATTGTTATTATTAATGTTATTATTAATATTATTATTAATGTTTGTTTGAGTGTTTATACATCATAAGTTAATCATTTATAACAAATGCACCAACAAATTTAAAGAAAGAAAATCTAGTAAGAGGATAAAACTCAAAACATCAAAGGAAAAAAAAACATAACTATGTTTTGAAAAACAAGGAAATGAATATCTGCATGAGGGGAACCGGACCTGAGGAGAACCGGACCTGAGGGGAACCGGGCCTGAGGGGAACCGGGCCTGAAGGTTCTACAAACACTCATGATGCAGAACTGATCCCAGTCGGTTAAATCAGTCCAGATCAGTTCTGTGAGTTTCTGTCTTTAACTTTGTTCAACATTCAGTTTCGACATCATATTAGAAAAAACTTGGTGTTGCACATCAGCTATGATGACATGACGTCATGATCTGGGATTATTGCAAAACTAATATGGCTAAATAAACAACAAACATGTTGGAGAAGTTAATGTTGAGTCAGAGGAGAAAAGAGTTGAGGAAGGAAACAGCTGTTTAAAGAGGGCGGGGCCAAAGCCAGGGAGAAAAACAAGTTCAAATACTTAACTGCGAATTCAAAGCAAGTAATTTAACGGACCAGGTTTTAACTGCACGGAGCCTCCAGCTCGGTCATAAAGACTCTGAACATTTTTCATTCTCTCTTTGCAGAGAAAATCCCAAAGAATCGATCAGGAATTAAAACCACAGGTTCAACTATTTTATTCGAATAAGATGCATATTAAACTGTTTACATTTTGCACAGTGCAACATCGGCCTTTTTATGCATGTTCACATGATTAACAGCCATTAAAAATGTTAAATAAACCAGGAAACTGATCGGAGGCGGGCCGATCCTCCCCGACACGCAGCTTACCGTGTGTAGCTGGATAAACTGCAGACAGAAGGAGGGAGAGAAAAACACACAGAAAAGACATTTTATGAAGCTTCCAGAACCTGCAGACAGATCGTGAAGGAGGTCGATTCGGGTTGTTTTGGTGCAGTTTGTTGTTATGGCATAAGAGGGCGGGGCGGGGGCAGAGCAATATGGTGCCGTGTGCAAAGCCTCCAGCTCCAGATTCAGTCATTTCAAAATGCCTTAAAACCACCAGATCACATCAGATCATTAGATTTCATCCCGATCAATAAAAACAGGAGAGATTTGGACCGGAAACACTTACAGACCAGAGAGCTGATACAGATATGATCCACGGACAAGAAGTGAAGATTAAACCCACAGAATATAAAAAAGAAAAACAAACTAACCAAAGTTGACCAGAACCAGCCGCTGAGCAGAAACCCAGCGGTCCACGTGTTGATTCTCACTCCGTCCATGTCTGCAGCATTTCTGGAGTTTCAGCTCCTGTTTCTTCTGCCTCCATCTGCAGCCGAGCTGCGGGAGGAGAGTCCAACCCCAGCGGGGTTTAAAGCCGCTGCTGCCCGAGGAGAGGCGACCTGCTGCGGCCACCAGCCGCTCTGCACGCCAGTTTAACCTTGTGACTCTCCAGGCTCTCCGTACCCAGAGGACCAGAGCTCAGAGGATGGGGGGAGGGAGAAAAAGAGAGAGGAGGGGGGCCGGGAGTTTGAGAGAGAGAGACCATCCGCAGAGGGTGAGGAGGGAATTTGTGTGTGTGTAATATTCAATAATGAAATGTTTTGTTTTAATTCTTAATAATTCTAAAGCGTAAATGTGGAGTTTTAAGATTTTCAATAAAACTGATAAGCGTTCTGGTGAAGGAGTTTGTCTCCTCCTGGTGGCGAACGTGACAAACTGCAGCCTTCAGCTCCGTCTCCATAGCAACGGGCTCGCGAGCTTGACTGCCTCTGATTTTGGCTGAACGACGACCTCAAACTTTACATCTTATTTGTTTTTATTTCAAGTAAATTATTCATTTTAGCCTACATAGCTTTTTCTGAGTACCAGTAAGTATTGAGATTAATTTCCAATGACCTTTAGAAATATTTTACAATATATATTGTACCGTTAAAAACACCAAGCTAATGGCTAATTGTTTTACCTTTGCTACTTTTTCATCGCTCTTATTTTCTATAACATGTGATCCCCATCTGGGTAAAATAAGATTTGACCATCAAATGGCTACCATCAAAATCTACGGTGGCCATCAGAAAATGTGACCTCCCCTTTTTAATTTGATTCAAATGATTGAACTTCCACCAAGGCTGAAGAAGCCAGTTAATCACCCTGCTGTGTATCAGCAGGAAAACACCTAAACATTGAGGGCCTGGGCCCTGAGGGCCAGGTTCAGGACCCCTGACATGTAGCTGGAGCATAAAATAACTTTTATACATCGTTAATAGTGGTAGAATTCATTTGTGGGTTTTGTTTTCTCAATAAATAAACCTTTTTCCTGCTGGTTTCTTGGTTTTGGGTGAACAATGTGACTCGTAGGCCGTCTGGCTGTTTGCAGTGCATATATTAGACATATGTACCACTTAGTACCCAATCACATTACTCAATGTATGACCTTTCTTTATGTGTGTTATGAGATGCCTGGGCAGATTATACTCATGTTGTTTCTGTTTTCAGGAGTTTTCTTGGCCATCGTGAAATAAAAGGTACAGTTTTTAACTTCACATTGACTCCACAGTGGTGCAATGTACTTTAATATGTCTTTTAAGCATCGGTAACTTGATTTAATAATACGAAAATAAAATCTGACATTTAAAACTGTTAAATATCTTAACATATTTCAGATAAAAAAACATGGTAAAATGTAATTGTTGTTGAAAGTATTTTTCTGAGTGCGTTTTACTTTTTTTTTTCATTTGAACGCAACAGATTTACATTCTTACACTTTTCTTGCAGGCCTGTGATTGGCTGTGATAAGTTGGGTTTAAAAATGCTTGGTAATTCAGATTTAATTTAATTAATTTCATTTCTGGCTTCCCTTTTGCACATTTTCTGTGGAAACTGAAGGAAATGGTCAGGATCCTTTAACTCTCTTATTCAGTTTGTCTGGTTCTGAAACTGAGCCTGGATCTTTGTCCTCAAACTGAAGAGGGTTAAAGTGTGGAGCTTATTGATGGCCACATTCAGCAGGAGATGTGAAACAGTCTAAAGTACTTTGTAGGGATGCTTTCATTACCAAAACTACAAACAGATTCCTGCATTAAAATGAAAGATGAAGTGGTTCTTGTTGAATGTTTTCATTGATGGAGGAACTGAGTTTGCAGGGAGGGAACTTCAACGTAAGACAGTTTTCTTTACACACACCTTTGGCTCCAGAGAGCTGAGAGTTGTAAAGGTTTCTCACCTGCCACCACTGTTAAATATTGACTGTTCAACATCAGACTGCATATTTCTGTTGTCCCTGTACTTCATGAAGTGACTGTCAGGACTGGAATCCTGCATGTTGTAGTTTTGATCAGATGATGACTTGCTGCCTCTGCAGAGACTGAGAGGAAGGTTTCTACTGGACCTGCAGGATACCAGCCCTGCTGCAGATCCAGTCCAGCTCCATGCTTACAAAATACATGTTTAGTTTTCTTCACATGTTGTTCTTATGTTTATCAAGTTCTTTACTGTTTTGTGTTAATTACATTTTTAAAACTGTATATTATGTAGGCGATGTACCACATTGTTGTTTTCGAAGACACAAATGAAGTGGAGGTGACTGCAGCGACGTGGGCTGAGGATGGAAGCTGCATGAGGCCGTCAGCAGCTGCAGGGTGGACTCCTGACGGCGTCAGAGCGATCTTTACATCCAGTAAGAACTGCCATGTTTCTGTTGTTTCCACTGACACATCAACACACGTTACTGATTTAAAACGTTCATACAATTTCCTCCAAACATTTATTGACATTCAACTTGATTTAACAATATAATGGCGCAGTGGTCAGGATCAATTAATCAATAATTAATCATCAGGCGGTTGGTTTATAGAAACATTCCCTCATCAGAAACATATCTGGAGTGTTTTCTTGATTCTTTCATGCATTTTGAGAAATGATTGACTCCCATGGCAGCAACAGGATGTTCAAGGAGGAGCCTTGTTCCCTGCTGTTCCCACAAAGCTGTTAATGACTTCATAGAGAAAAGCTGTAGTGATAAAGTGCTGAAGGCACAGAACGAGCAGGAGCTTCTTAAAGAGACAGCAGCCCAATTTCAAGGCGTTACATTGTTATAATATGGCACTATGTGCCAGGAAAAGACATAATATTGCTCCTTTTGAAATGCTTTTACCAGCTCAGCAGATGGTTAATTACACCAGCTAATTGCTGCTGGCTAGTCTGAAGGAGCTGAGTGGGGCAGTTAGGAGGGAGGGGCTGCACATTGGTCCCACCAAGACTTCTGTACAGTTGAGTGGTTGCCACAGGAAATGAAATGATTTCTCAAACATGCGTGAAATAATCAAGGCAAAACTCCAGGTATGTTTTTGATGATGGAATAACATTATAACATTATAATATTATAACATTATAACATTATAATATTATAACATTATAACATGACGTAAAGCTAAAAAAGGTCTAAGTTACAAAATCCTGCCCCTTTAAGAAGACCACAGTTCCTCTGAATAATCATTGTAGATTTCATAAAATATATTGACTGTATTTAAGTCAAGTCTAAATTATGTTGCCTGCAGAGGGTTTAAAAGTTTCCCTCTCTTTATCTGTCACACTTGCTCATGGGATAGTTTGGTAACAGTAACTTGTGAAGCAGTAATGAGAAAATAGTTAGAAATCGTTGCTCTTTTCATTATGTATAGATGATTACCGTGAGGTAAGGTGGGAACTTCCTGAAGCAGTGAAAAGCAGTGACACTGCTACAGATGATGATTCTCCAATCAAACCCAAACGAAGAAGAATGTGAGTTTATGTTTGCATGTTTGGTAATATTCAATTATCCCTGATGTTTGTGATTTTATTTTTCTTAAAACATGTTTTAGTAGAAAAACCTTCTCTTTCCTGGTGAAGATGTGTGGCTGTTTAGAGAATCTGTCCAGTATTGTTCTGATCTGGTTCTGTTGCAGTCTAGAGTCTTGGCAGTTAGTTTATCATTCAGTCTAGTTTGTATTGCCATTCACAGTTAAGATGCTAACCCAGGATGAAATGTATGAAGCTTTACACTAAGACTGCTGTTGCTTCCAAATGTTCCCTTTGTGGGATGATAAAAGCTATTTCTATGTTATTCTATTTTAAATCAAAATGAATTGAATTGTATTAATGCATAAAGTTAGAACTTTACTTGAAAACATGCTGCATTACCACCAGCACCAAGAATTTCTAATCCTGATGTCTCAACCACTGCAGCTCTGCCCCATCTCCATCAAGATGTCGACCCTCTGCCCCATCTTCATCAGGCTCCCTCCATTCTGCCCCATCTCCATCGAGCCATCGACCCTCTGCCCCATCTCCATCGAGCCATCGGCCCTCTGCCCCATCTCCATCGAGCCATCGACCCTCTGCCCCATCTCCATCAGGCCATCGACCCTCTGCCCCATCTCCATCGAGCCATCGACCCTCTGCCCCATCTCCATCAAGACATCGACTCTCTGCCCCATCTCCATTAGGCCATCGACCCTCTGCCCCATCTCCATCAAGCCACAACCCATTTGCCTCATCTCCATCAGGCTCCCTCCATTCTGCCCCATCTCCATCAGGCTCCCTCCGTTCTGCCCCATCTCCATCAGACTCCCTCCGTTCTGCCCCATCTCCATCAGACTCCCTCCATTCTGCCCCATCTCCATCAGGCTCCCTCCATTTGCCTCATCTCCATCAGGCTCCCTCCGATCTGCCCCATCTCCATCGAGCCCCCACCATTCTTCCAGTCTTCATCTTTGTAAGTGATCTACTGTGATCATGTTTTAGAATCATAATGTTGTGGCTAAAGTTCTCATTGATGGCATCCTTTTATTTTACAGCACTCCTCAAAAATATTTTAATAAATCAGGAATTTATGATGAATCAAATTAAAATAATTCACAAAGAAATCAAAGGTCTATATACTACATCTAGTGACGAGTTACTACTGAAATTATTCCCACTAAACAACCGACAGTCTGTGGAAGACATGGAGGCTGAACTTCACGAAAACCCTGAACTTCAGGAGCAGCTGGTAAGCATCTCAATAGGAAAATGTTTTCCAGTGAGCCTGTTGACCTGCATGTGACAGATAACAGGTTAGTCACAGTGGTGTGTATTCATGTTTTCATCCAGGCTGGATGTTTTCCTAAGGCATCACAGCAGAACCTCTCAGATTTACCACCTTAAGGAGCCACAGGCCTTAAGGTGGTACACGATATGTGGAGAATACTAGATAATGTTAGAAATGAACATCCTCCACTTATTAGGAAACGTTTTCAGCTTTTACTCTTAGTCACATGAACCTGCTCAGTTCACTAAATGGTGTGTTTGCATTTAAAATAACTTCCATTCATTATCTTATATTCAGTATTTCATTCAGGGATAAAAAGCTCGTTCCATTGTAGGAATGGATCTAACCTGAATATGGATCCAAAGAACAGCTGCAGTCTCTCACATTCATCATTTAGTCTGAGCCAAAGCACATTCTAAGATTTCTGCTTCTCTACATTTCATAACCTGTTCCCTGATGCTCAGCACACGACTGAACCGGTGGATTGTTGCAGACTGTTCTTCTGCTTACAGAGCACGGCGCTGGCTTTGAGGGGCGGAGGCTCCCTGAGTGAGTGTGTGGGGAGGATCATGACAGCGCTCCTCACACACTCACTCAGCAAGCAGATCAACTGGCGCGGCGTGAACGGGAAGATGGGCTTCCAACACCTCCAAATTAAAAAACTGGTGACTGGTAAGTCCAGAGCTTTAAGGACTTCATCTCTTCACTGCAGGTTTTGTGCAGCTGGTCTCAGGAAAAACATGTAGTGGTGATACAGACATGAGGTTTCATACTAATGGTCACCTGAAGCATTTTACACCTGCACTGTGATCAGACCTTCCTGGTCAGCTGCCACAGGTTGTGTGTCAGAGTCCGTCTGAAGGCGATGCTTTGGTCATGGATGTTGGAATTAAGGAACTTTTCCTGTTCATTTTTCTGATTGGTCAATAAAAATGTATCGGTCAAATGTTTTCAGTAAATTGCAGGTTTCAGTTTTCATATTTAAACTGCTGGTTTAACATGACTGGTTCAGAACGGCTGCATGATGAGCAGCATGGCAGCGTCCATCTGCTTTAGACTCTGCACCGGTGGCACCAGAACAATGCCTCCTGAATATAAAGCAGTTTAATTACACAATACTGGGGTGGAAACATTGTTTTTATACAGACAAAAACACAACCGACTACAGTAGTAGACAGTCAACACGACAGTCTTCACTGGTTTGGTTGGATGCTGGAGCTGATGGATGTGAAAACAATCCAGCTGAAACTGTTTGGTTCCAAAAGCAGCGTCTCACTTCCAGGTGTCTTTTTGTCTGGTTTTCAGACGATGTTTGCTGATTGGAAACTGGTTAACTATCACATTCTTACTCTTGAAGGGCGCCCCCTGGAGGCAGGGCCATTCATGACAACAGCATGGTTCTGGTTCTGGTTCTGGTTCAGATCTGCATCCCCAGAACCAGAACCAAACCAGGAGAAGCAGCTTTCAGCTTCTACCAACCTGGAACAAACTTACAGAAAGCTGAAAACCAGCCGAAACACTGATTTCCTTTAAATTAGATTAAAACCAGCTGTTTGGAGCTGGAACATAATAAATGAAACATTTTTACAACGACACTCATCAAAATTCACCTGTTGGCTGTCAGGTGTTTTCTTTATAATGTTTTATTTTCTGTTTTCATCATGTAAGCCACCTGGATGCTGGAATGAGCTGCACATGTAAACTTTGATCAAACATGAGAAGAAAAAATTTACTGAAACAAAGTTGATAGTGAAAAAGGTCCAACAAAGATGGGACATTATTATCAGATCAAAGTTTGTTTATAACACATCTACAGCTCCAGCTGAGCTCACAACAATCTCACAGGCAGATACATGATTAAACACAAAATAAAATTAAGTTTAGTAAAAATAAAAAAATAAGACAGTTATAAAGTCGGCAGAAAATACCAAGAAGAATAAAAACTAATTTCAGCTTCAGCGATTCTGAGCCCCAACAACTCGAATCAATAAAGTTCTAATATGAGCCTTTATTATCTGTTCATTGGTTTATTTCCATCCATGTCTTAGACACTCGTCGCCCCCAGTGAGGGTCCTGGTGCCTGTCGCCCTGAGCACGCCGCCAGGCCATAGCAGTTATTTATTTGTAACCATGGTAACTGAAGGCCTGGGACAATAATAAGTGTTTCAGCCTGGAACCAAACTAAGTACTGACTCAGGAAGCTGAACCGACCCGGTGAGGCTGGTCAGCCCTCTTGGAACACCAATACTTTTCAAAAACAAAACACAGTTGGGCCGCACGGTTCTGACGCCACTGCCAAAGACTCTGGTCCAATGTTCATTTTCTGTTTCATTTTGTTCCAGTGGCTGTGCGGCGCAATCAGCTCACCTCCATGGAGACTGACAGAGACATCGACCTCGCCATCACCAAGTGGCTGCAGAACGCCTCGGACAGGAACGGGGGGAGACAAGAGAGGAGGAAAAGGAGCGTCCAGCAGAGAGGGGGGGACTGCTAGGCTCTGGGCTGGACCTAAAGGAGAAAGGGGGCGTGGCTTAACTCCCGTCTTTGACTTCCTTGTCGTTTCTTGATGACGCGGTTTAAAACCTACAGATGAAATAAAAGCCGATATGTTTCTGTATTTATGACCACTGTGTCTCCAAAGTTAAAGTCAGAGACTCTCATCAACAGTTTAATGAATGTTTGCTTCATCTTTCTTCATTCTAACAGGACGATGGCGCCACCTGGTGGCCATACACGTCATCCTGCGGCCAATCAAAACCATCTGAGGTTTTTTTATTTTCTACAGTCCAAAATTCAGTAAAT